CTGTGCGTGTGTGTGGAGTGTATAACACCTGCAGCTGTGCGTGCGTGCATGGAGTGTATAACACCTGCACCTGTGCGTGCGTGCACGGAGTGTATAACACCTGCAGCTGTGCGTGCGTGCATGGAGTGTATAACACCTGCACCTGTGCGTGTGTGTGGAGTGTATAACACCTGCAGCTGTGCGTGTGTGCACAGTGTTTAACACCTGCAGCTGTGCGTGTGTGCACACGGAGTGTATAACACCTGCAGCTGTGTGTGTGTGCGCGCGGAGTGTATAACACCTACACCTGTGCGTGTGTGCATGGAGTATATAACACCTGCAGCTGCGCGTGTGTGTGGAGCATATAACACCTGGAGCACTTCGTTGCCAGGGCTTCTACTAGTGACACTAATCCACACAGACTGCCTTTAAACTGCCTCTCTACACGACAGACCCAACAGGCCAGCATCCATCCATCTGCAAGGGCCAGTCCAGGAGCGTGCAGAGTCTTAGAGTAAAAATCAGCAAGTTGAGAATTATAGTTAACATCAGCTTAGTTAGACAGCTCCTGACTATACACATGCAGCAGAAAACAAACAAACATAGTTAGATAAATGTATTTATTTCTTACCTAGTTTTTTTTTTAATTCTGGCTGTAATTTTTCCTTTCTTTCTTTTTTTTTTTTTTTTTTTTTAGGGGGTTTTTCCTTTGGGGGTGTGTGCTCTCCCGTGCTATAGGGCGTGTGTGCTCTCCAGAAAGAGAGACAGAAAGCAAGAAATCACTCCCCCAGGGGGGATGGCCATGCCATAATCCCTTCTCCTCCAGGGATCTTGGGCACGTATGCACACACACCCGGCATGAGTTTTAAGTCACCAAGTCTGGGATTCGAACCACGGTTGACTACATGGGAGTCCAGTGACATAGCCATTACACTAACTGCTGGTCCTCAATTCTGGCTGTAATTAACACCATAAACAAAGTTCCTCATTTCGCTTCATAGTTTACATCATCCATCTTTTTATCTGTGTCATAGTCTACACCTGAAGGCCATCTGAAGCAAATTTCCCTCCACTTGCAAAGCATGAAAATATCAAGTTGTTGGCAAAGTCACAACCTATTTTCCTATCCTTTTCTATGGAAAAATGTATCGTGACTTTTCTGACAACCCAACAGTAACAGCAACAACGAGTGTGTGCTTATTTCATGCCAGTCTTCCTCACCCAAAGCACTTTACTGAAAGCGTGCAAAGGGAAGGGAGTGTAAGCGTCATCCTGGGAGGGAATTAAAGAGCAGAGAAGAGCAGTCGCATGCAGGAGCTGAAGGACTTCCCAGTCGCTTCACTCTGCGTGCCATTACGAACACTTTTAAATGCTATCTTATTCTTGTAAACACCTTTTCAAATTTCCCAAGGCATTTTCACATTTAGAACATCATCTATTTACACTCACTCAAAACTGCAATTCAAAACCAATGCCACGCAGAATTAAGTGCAGCGTGGGGTTTTCCCGCTGCGGGCACCAAGTCCTCGGCTATGTCAGGCCTGTGAGTAAGTGGCCTTCTGTTCTCTTCATACAGTCACTGTTGGTTTTTCATCAGTTAACTAAAGTTGTACCACCAAAGCTCATGCAGGACATTATAACCACTCTGGAATATAAAAACTAACTCAATAAGCATAACCTTATGTGGTGTGACTGTATCTTACGAATGGAATAGCCGAGTACCAAGATTTTAATAAACATTTTACACACTAGTGTGCAAAATGGCTTCTCCCCAAACTGAGATTTTTAATATCTTAAGCAAAATGGAAAAGAAAAATAATCATAGTGATTAAAAAGATAAGAAATTACAAGAAGCTGAGTTAAGTAGGTTAAGGATCTAGAGATTCATTCATACAATAAGCCATTGATGACTGCTACACACATAGCAACACTGACTAAATTCCAAGGCAGAAGCACAGAACAAGGCGAGCGAATCCCAGCCCTGGGAGGTAGAGTTTAGGCGACAATGGGTTCCGGCAGGAATCCCTACCGAGAGAACTGCACCTTCAAAAGACAGGAATGACAACTGATTATATGATTAACTTTTCAACTTGCAAAGTTTAATCATATTTTGACAAAATTCAATCACATTTTGAAGTTATGCTGAAAGATTTTTGAAGCTGTTAATTTTTTTTTTTCAGCAGAAAACAAACAAACATAGTTAGATAAATGTATTTATTTCTTACCTAGTTTTTTTTTTAATTCTGGCTGTAATTTTTCCTTTCTTTCTTTTTTTTTTTTTTTTCTTTTGAGAGGTTTTTGCTATAGGGCGTGTGTGCTCTCCAGAAAGAGAGACAGAAAGCAAGAAATCACTCCCCCAGGGGGGATGGCCATGCCATAATCCCTTCTCCTCCAGGGATCTTGGGCACGTATGCACACACACCCGGCATGAGTTTTAAGTCACCAAGTCTGGGATTCGAACCACGGTTGACTACATGGGAGTCCAGTGACATAGCCATTACACTAACTGCTGGTCCTCAATTCTGGCTGTAATTAACACCATAAACAAAGTTCCTCATTTCGCTTCATAGTTTACATCATCCATCTTTTTATCTGTGTCATAGTCTACACCTGAAGGCCATCTGAAGCAAATTTCCCTCCACTTGCAAAGCATGAAAATATCAAGTTGTTGGCAAAGTCACAACCTATTTTCCTATCCTTTTCTATGGAAAAATGTATCGTGACTTTTCTGACAACCCAACAGTAACAGCAACAACGAGTGTGTGCTTATTTCATGCCAGTCTTCCTCACCCAAAGCACTTTACTGAAAGCGTGCAAAGGGAAGGGAGTGTAAGCGTCATCCTGGGAGGGAATTAAAGAGCAGAGAAGAGCAGTCGCATGCAGGAGCTGAAGGACTTCCCAGTCGCTTCACTCTGCGTGCCATTACGAACACTTTTAAATGCTATCTTATTCTTGTAAACACCTTTTCAAATTTCCCAAGGCATTTTCACATTTAGAACATCATCTATTTACACTCACTCAAAACTGCAATTCAAAACCAATGCCACGCAGAATTAAGTGCAGCGTGGGGTTTTCCCGCTGCGGGCACCAAGTCCTCGGCTATGTCAGGCCTGTGAGTAAGTGGCCTTCTGTTCTCTTCATACAGTCACTGTTGGTTTTTCATCAGTTAACTAAAGTTGTACCACCAAAGCTCATGCAGGACATTATAACCACTCTGGAATATAAAAACTAACTCAATAAGCATAACCTTATGTGGTGTGACTGTATCTTACGAATGGAATAGCCGAGTACCAAGATTTTAATAAACATTTTACACACTAGTGTGCAAAATGGCTTCTCCCCAAACTGAGATTTTTAATATCTTAAGCAAAATGGAAAAGAAAAATAATCATAGTGATTAAAAAGATAAGAAATTACAAGAAGCTGAGTTAAGTAGGTTAAGGATCTAGAGATTCATTCATACAATAAGCCATTGATGACTGCTACACACATAGCAACACTGACTAAATTCCAAGGCAGAAGCACAGAACAAGGCGAGCGAATCCCAGCCCTGGGAGGTAGAGTTTAGGCGACAATGGGTTCCGGCAGGAATCCCTACCGAGAGAACTGCACCTTCAAAAGACAGGAATGACAACTGATTATATGATTAACTTTTCAACTTGCAAAGTTTAATCATATTTTGACAAAATTCAATCACATTTTGAAGTTATGCTGAAAGATTTTTGAAGCTGTTAATTTTTTTTTTTTTTTTTTTTTTTTTTTTTTTTTTTTTTTTTTTTAATGATTCTCCTCTGGACCAGAGGATAAAGAGGAAGCCACCCAAGCAAAGGGTCCCAGAAGGGTTGTTATGTTGGCTCCAGCAGCACAGAATGAAAAAGTTACTGCTCAACCTGCAGTGATTAAAGAACTTAATAGTTATTCCTCAAAAGTCATACGTTTTAAACAATTGGAAAAAAGTAGTTAGTAACTGATACTGTCATTTTAAAATAGGGGTCAAGGATATTTTTCTGCAAAAGGCTCGATAGTGAATAGTTCCAGCTTCGTGGGTCCTACTACCTCTGTTTCAGTTACTCAGCTCTGAGTTTTACTGTGACAGGAGCCATAGGCAATATGCACACAAAGGGCACGGCTGTGTTACAATAAAACTTTATTTACAAAACTAGACCGCAGCCCAGATTTTGCCTGCAGGTCACAGTCTGCCTGCCTCCTGCTTTAAACAAGCATTTCTAAGACTTCATAAACATATCTGGCTGTATTTTTCTGGAATTATGTTTCACTGATATAGTGGCAACGGAGGTAAGACAGTTACTTTTTAATTAAAAGGATGAAAGAAAACACTTAAAAATTTTAACTTAAAAAATTTTTAATTATTACTCCTATTTGTTCAGACAAGAGTAATACCTACATATCTATCACAGGTATATTAAACTAGTCTTGAAAATAACATGCAAATATAAATGAAGTAAATAATATAAAAATGTATATGCTGAGTCACTGTTAACATATCAATAACAAAGCCTCCAACACAGATTTCCAATGAATTCATTTACAAGTTACCTCTTATTGTAAACTCACGATAAGAATTCTGTAGTTTAAATAATTTGGTTAGAAATAATCCCTGTGGCCATTTTTTTTTCTTTTTTCTTTCTTTTCCCAGAGTGAGATTTTTGCTATAGGGTGTGTGCACTAGCCAGAGAGACAGTGAGAAAGAGAGACAGAGTGAGAAATCACCCCCATGGTGGAATGGCCACACTGCAATCCGTTCTTCTCCATTCTCCTCTCGGTATCTTGGGCACGCACCCCACAGGGACTTAGCATGAGTTTTAAGCTGCAAAGTCTGGGTCTCGAATTGCAGTTGACTGCATGGGAGTCCAGCAAGGCAACCATTACACCATCTGCTGGTCCCCCCGTGGCCATTTCCAAGTTTCAGTCTCTGGAAACCTAATTCTTGAAAATCCTGAAGTTTAAGGGGGTGGGTTGTGGAGAGAAGAGACTTGAACGTGCAAACAATGCAGAAAACAGCCTTACCTCTGTAACGAATAAGCTCTGTGCTTCCGCTGCTGCGCTGGCAGGGACTGTGGAGCACACGTACCGGCCCTGTCGTCTAAGAATGGTCGTCTGTAAACAAATGCACAGGGAAAGACTTGGTAAGTGAGGCGGGAAGGCACCAGCCTGAGTGCAGCTGGAAGCCCAGGCAGGCCCAGCACTCTGGCAGGCCCTCCGATTTCCACCAGCCGGGAACTGTGCCGCTGCCTCCTTAGGGCACACACCACAGCGCCCTCTTGGTCCCCTGAAATTCAAAGTAACAGCTCCGTAGTAACTCTGGCTTTTTGCTGGATCAGGGGCAGAGCTAGCCCTCCGGGGTGCCCAAGCCTCCTTTCGTGGTCCCTAACACCCCACTGCCAAGTGCCTGATCTAGTCTCACTATGTTCCCTTTCATTTGCTTTTTCTACTGTGGTAAAAAACGCATGTATAACCTCAAGTTACCATTTTAAGCATCTTTTTTTGCTAGAGAGATTTTTGCTATAGGGTGCATGCACTCACTGGAGAGACAGAGACAGAGAGACAGAAAGCAAGAAATCATCCCCCAAGGGGGATGGCCACATCATAATTCCTTCTCCTCCATTCTCCTCTCGGGATTTTGAGCACGCATGTGAACATGTGTCCGGCATGAGTTTCAAGCCACTAGGCCCGGGACTCCAACTACAGTCGACTACGTGGGAGACCAATAACATAACCATTACGCTATCTGCTGGTCCCCCGTTTTAAACATCTTTAACTGTACAGTTCAATGGCATTAATGCCATTCACATGGTGCACAACCGTTATCACCATCCATGTCTTAATTGTCCCTTCTTGTTCACTGCCACATCCCCAGACCCCTAAGAACATGGATAACGCAGAAGGCCCTCGATCAATCATTGTTAAATGAACCTCGGAATCTCCCCTCCTGTGAACTTGAGAACTCTTGTTTCACGAGGCTTAAACAATTATTGTAAATGATACAATGACTTTAGGAAACCACTATCTACCCCAGTCACTAGCCTCTGGGTTTCAGAAGTAATGTTTTGTTATTTTCTCCCATGGACTGTCATCCTTAGATACTCAGAACATCATAGTCTTAACAGCAAACACGAGAACAGTCCACTGGCAGGATCTATCCTGCAGGCTCTTCAGGGCAAATTACGAGGCTGATGTCCAGGCATCTGGTCTGGCAGCTCCCTTCTTCCTTTGGTCAAATCTGTCATCTCTCCCCCTCCAGCCCAGGGGGAGAACTTTGGAGCATGTGTTCCGTGTACAACTTAATGTTATTTTCTCTGTGTTGTGTCTGCTTCGCCTGTCCTTAGTCTTTGCTTGCACTACGTCCCTCCTTGAAAGTAATATTAAGCTTATTTTTAGAATAAGCCTGCCCTACTCTACAGGAAGGGGAGGAAGGAGCTCTGTTCTCCACCGAAGTCTTGTGCAGATTTGCTCTGAGCATCACCAACACACGGCGACCTTTCCTCCACACTGGTCTCAGGAAGTGCCGCAGAGGTAAGTGACCGTCAGCCGGCATGGAAGACAAGCACAGCCCATTCACAAAGCCACGGAGCAACGAAACGATTACAGGGACCGTCACAACTGTTGTGCGTCGGGTGTGAGATCGGCAAAGGAGAATTGCTGACGGGATTCTGCACGACACATTCTAAAGCCTGACTTCCCGTGCTCTTGTCTTGAGTTATTTGGGTCTTTCAAGATTTCTGAAATTGCCAGACTTTTAAAATGTTTATGAAATGGCTCAAGTCCAGGAAGAGGACTGAGTGAGGGTCATTTCCAGTCCATTTTTCATCATGGCACTAGGATGAAAGAGATTTTATTACAAAACTTTCCCCGTGGTATTACCAACTCCAGAAGTTTTAATTATGTGACACTTTACTAAACACTCCTTTAAGCTGAGAAATTAATAGGAAATATATCTTTCTGGTGCTCGTGTATCAGTGTGCCACTGTGTACTCACTTGCAAAAGAAAACTATTTTAAATATTTACAAGTTTTCTATGATCAGATCTTGCTTCCTCCCCTAGAGACTTCACTCAAATAAACTAGGTTGCATTTGCTTCTTTAGCATATACTTAGCATAAGGACTATTTTTGCATGTAATTCTTGAACTGTGGAAGGTTAGTTCTGTTTTAGATAACCTCCAGGCCAGCCGCTGTGCTTTTCCGCACGTGTGTGCTACTCCACACCCTTCCTGGATTTATTCCACCAATAGGATGAAACAGAAGGGATGGTGTGTTGGTACAAACTAAGCCTTTGGGAAAACCAGCAGCTTCTGCTTCCTCCTTCTTACTGGTACCAGTTAATGTGGGAGTCTGGGGTAGGTGTGGTAGTGTGCACCTGTAGTCGTAGCTACTTGGGGGCCTGAGGCAGGAAGATTATGAACTTGCAGAAGGCATGGGCAAGGCAGTGAGACCCTGTCTGGAAGGGCCAGGCATGGTGGTGCAGTCCACGGTTGCACTCCTCTGGAGGCTGAGGTAGGTGGATGACACAGGGAGATTCTGTTTTAAAGACAAAATAAAACAAAAAAACCACTGTCTTTTTTTTTTTTCTTTTTTTGGAGAGGTTTTTGCTTTAGGGCACGTGCACTAGCCAGAAAGACAGAGAGACATAAAGAGATAGAAAGCGAGAAATCGCCCCCCAGGGGGGGATGGCTAAGCTGCAATCCCTTCTCCTTCATTCTCCTCTTTGGAGTCTTGGCACACACACACACACACACACACACACACACACACGCGCGCGCCCGGCGTGAGTCTAAGCCACCGGGTCCAAGACTCGAACCATGGTTGACTACATGGGAGTCCAGTGACATAGCCATTACGCTAACTGCTGGTCCCCAAAAAAACCACTGTCTTCAGACCACACTGGTGGGAGAGTACAAGCTAGCCATAAGGAGAGGCCACATATGCAGCAAAGGTGCTTGGCTCCACCTGTCAGGACGCGGCTGTTCCAGGTGAGGCAGCATGATGTGCGTGAAGAGCCGACCTGGACATTCGTGCCAACACGGGCAGCAAGCGAAGTAGAGAAACCACTCCGCTGAGACTGGACCAGATTTCAGACTTGTGAGGAACAGCAAACTACTGTCTTAAGTTACTAGGCTTTAGGGCTCCAGGGTGGTTTACTGCTCAACAATACAACAGGATTTAAAAAGTTCATGGAAAATGGAATTAAATTATGACTTTATTTTGATGCAAAAAATTTGTAAATCTATGCATACTTTATTCATAATATGTATTTCCCATGAAATTTTTATCCCACTGATAACTGAAAACAAGACTGGGGGAGAGTAGGAACATCTCCCAACTACAGTACTGAAAATACATGAAAAGTAACATGAAAAGGTATTTCAACTATCAGCTATAGTACAGAGTTGGGACAGAAGCACTGAAAAGATACACTATACTGTGATCTGGTTCCACAATCACCCTTTACTCAGCCAGTGTAAGGTAGAAAAATGTCTATTGAATATTTTTTAAGAATCACTTTTATTTATTGTCATTACTTTATAATTTGACCAGAGAGAGAAAAAAAGTGAGAAAGTAAGCTGCCAGGTCTGGGATTCGAACTGGTGTCAACCATGTGGGAGTCCAGCACCTCAGCCACCACACCACCTGCTGGCCCGGTCTATTGAATTTTGAGAGTAGACTGCAGTGCTTTCTCTTGATGAAAAACTTCCTATTGACCATTTAAGAGCTCGGCATAAGTATCATTTTATGCATCCACTCATCCAAACCTTTACTGGGTCCCTACCTCTACCAGACACTGAACTAGGGGCTAGAGACACAAGTTTAATAAGCTGTAGTTGGTGTTCTTAGAAAGCTCACTGATAGAGGGTAGAGACACAAGTTTAATAAGCTGTAGTTGGTGTTCTTAGAAAGCTCACGGTCTAATGAAATACATGACTAGAGTGTGACAAGTACTATGGACAAGATTTAGAGAAAAGCACAAAAGCGCAGAAGGATCTGAGAGAAAGGGTAAGAGAACGAAATCCAACAGGAAGAAAAAGAGACGTCAAGGAAAGGTACAGTGAGAGAGAGACACTTAAGCTCAATTACAAAGGTTGAGTACGAGTTGCATTCACTACAGAGGAAGAGAGACTCGGCAGTCCTTAGGAAGTTAAAAGAGCAAAATCTAGACATAATAAATGAGATTAGCTCTTTGGGAAAATTTAAAAATTCATTAAATCCTACAACTAAAAACACATCTTATATCAAAGGAAAACCATTCTAGAATCTCACTGGTTTTGAATTAAACACCACCAAAGCACCACCAACCTAGAGCCTAGTCAAGGTTTTAATTCACCTGGGAAAAAAATGGGCTGTCAGTAAGAGCAGGGCCTGCATGGCTGGAGCACTTCTGTCAGTGTTTCTGTCACTATCTGACAGACTACGGTGACCTGATAAACTACCTCACTGAGACCGGAACGAATAGGCTAGTCTATCCCTGACTCCATTATCCAAACTCTTCTACAGGCACACGCCCTTGTTTCCCCACCACATTGCAAATTTCCTTGTGGACAGGAGATCTTTCTATTTGTAGCTCTGTGCTAAGTATGCAACAAATGCTTCCAGAATGAATGCGTAAAGCATTCAACAGAGGTAGAAACAGGAACCTACCAATAACCATCCATTACTTGTATATAAGTTGTTTTTCCTATTATAAAAAGTTCTCTGGTCCATTATAAAAATTGGCAAGGAAAGACTACAGTGTACATAAATACTGTGTTTTACTATCTCCTTAAATTTTATATTTAAAGTCCCATTCAGATAATAGTCTACTTATGACAAACCAAGTCGCATTAAATTTCTATAGTTTTATTTATCTGGCCTATAACAGAGTCCAAGTCGATACCAGGAGGTTTGCATTCAATAAGCTCTAAAGTCCTTCCCATTGATTAAATTTTCTCATTCACGCCTGTGGTATTTCTTTCAACCTTCTCTTTTTATAAGTCAAGGTCTCACTATGTTGCCACACTGACCACAAGGTTGTGATCCTCCTGCCTTAGCCCCGCTAAGTTGCCAGGACTACAACGTCTGTACTAATGTTCCTGGCTTTGAGGGTGGGCCAGGAATTGGAACCAGG